TAGGCACCGTTGCTGAATGCAGGCTAGTCCGCTTACGCGTCTTCACCGCACACACAACCAACTCATACATTCATGCAAGGGTTATTAAGTCGATCGTCATTGGCTGCCTTGGGCTAGCTCAATTCCAAGGACACTGCGCCCTCTTGGTGCGTACAAATGATACCGGATGCAATTTAATTGCACTAATGATTATGGTTGATTAGCTTGAAGATGCAAATCAGAGCCTTGGGGAGCAATTCAATTGCAGTATGGATGCAATCAGTCTGGAAATCTTGTAGTCGCGTGTTCCGCGTTCAAGCCTCGAACATCTTAGTTTCCCGATCGTTTGCATGTCGTCCGTTTTAGAGGACTCAGCGTGTCATCCGAGTACGCGCATGAATAGGGGCCGTGCTCAGGTTACGCGTAAGGCTCTTTTAAGCTAACGCAACCAAACCTGCGCAAACCCACTACATATGTGACAGCACAGCTATCGAAATATGACGGACGAGTAGACTGATTTGAGATTCATGCTGAAGCAGCCCTCAAAATGGTGTCCGTGATAACCGACAAACTTTCTAGTTCTTCCCTTCACGCAGGTCTGACTGGTAATTATCAATCAGTGGACCATGTCATTAGCGACATCACTGAATTCCTGTACGACGCCAGGGCGCGAGCAAGGTTCTATTTTTGGTATAAGCGGTACGAGGACCTGTTCACCGTTGACCTGGCCTGCCAGGTGGGCGCGTTGAAGTTCCGGCTGCTTCTGCGCAAACTGGGTACGCTCGAACACGACGTTACACTAATTTCATCTTGCCGAACTACCCACGCGACGTTACTTCAACGACACGGTTCGAACCTTGTCCCAGATTTTTGGCGAGAAGCCCCCTTTTTCATGCTCGTTATCAAAGTTTTCAGCCGGTCAAGGGTGACATCTACCACTCCATCAGGTAAGTGGGCTTAGTCAAGCAGGAATGCGAACGTTTTCAACTCGGTTCGCTCACAGAGGACCAATTCTAATGCTTGATATTTGTCTCCGGTCTACAATCTGTACACGATACTGATATCCGGACGCGCCTCCTATCCAAACTACTGCAGGATACCACTGTCACACTCCAGAATTTGGCCGAGGAGTGTCAAACTCTGCGGAACCTGAAGCACGTCCAAGCCATTTATCCAGAACGTCGCCGCATCTGGTATGCTCCAAGCACTGGCAGCACCAAGGGCGTAATCATCTTTGCGTCCCACCCAATCCAACCGAGCGAAGTTCCCACCGTATGCGTGCCGGTTCTGTGGTGCTTAAAAATTTCCACCGGGACGGCGATTTCCGCCAGCACGGGTGCCAACGTTTTGGCAGGATAGGTTACCGGAATGTTTGCTGCCAGCCTACAACTCCAAAGGGAGCCAAATCTCGGCTGGCCCCCATCCGCGATCCGAAGAAGAGGTCCAGACTCAGACATAAACCCAAACCTAGTCCGCTTGGCAGCTCCCTGAGCCTGCTGATCACGTTCCATCTCAAAGCTGCGGATCGTAGAAAATTTGTCGAGTTCTCGGTCAACGGTCCGTCTGTCCGACACAGTGGGACAGTGCGTCAGGCATCACGATCATCTCCGAGGATCTCTGGTGATCCTTTGGCAAGCCTCTTTCCGAATCGACCTGCCAATCAGTCTCCATCGCCTGCGGTGGTCGCGTGCAGCTAACTGGGCATCTGCACTGTCCCCTGTCCTTCCGAGGCTCCACATTCAACGAGATCTGCTACCGTACGAAGATGAAGATAACGTACTTGTTCTCGACAGGCACAAAATCCTTGGCTTGGCCGATCTGCCTCTTCGGGTTATCTGCAGCGTGCTATATTCTCCGACAGTGCCAAGCAACTGAACAAACGTCATCATCAAACAGTTCTCCCTGTGTTCCTGAGTGGTCTTGGTCGCTGTGCAAACACGTGCGCCGTGCTACGGCTAGCGCGACCAATCCTGCACAAAGCGTTGCAGTTTCTCACTGACGTTTTTGCTTCAAAGCCATATAAGATTATCTTATTTAATACAGATCACTAATTTGGGCAGCAATACAACAACCATAAGTTGGGAAACTATACGCCTCTACTTTAACTTCGGAGACCTCTGTCGAATCTCGCCTGCTGATAAATCCTAGCAATTACCATGGCAAATGCAGCGGTCAGTGTCGGATGAACTTTGAGTCATCAATTCGTTAAGGCAGAGAGAAGACAGAGGTTGCGATATGTCAACATTCCGATTGTTCTCTTCAGTCGCAAACACAATACGAGCAGAAACACACAAAGGCTTATGTACATGAAAAAGTAAGCAGTACCAATCAAAATGTCACAGTCAAGACCATGGCAACCGAACTGATTGCCTCCAGAGGTTCTGTGCGCATAACACATGTTGATAAGCATTAATTAAAAACGCCTCATTAATTGGCAGCATTATCCGGTTTTTGTTAACTAACAACACGTTGAACGCTGTCTCGGAGTTTACGTGATGACGGGTTACCATGAGGTGCTTAGTGATAGACGATGTCGGGCTCCGATTAATCCTCAGATCCGTCCCATTTTGATGAGTAATCACTTGTCCCAACCACTTTGTTATACGCCATCTCAATATGTCTTTTGTAGTACCTTGAAGTGATTTGCAAGTACCTTGACCTTTGGAACAGGTTTGTAACAGATGGATGTATGAAGTTGCGCGCTCACAAAGCTGCATGCTATAACCAATTTCGTAAATATTTGAACTCACTACTGAATGGATGAACACAGTCGCTGCAGACGGCCATGAACTTCACAGCGGCACGGTAGCAGCAACCGTTTCGGGACCTAGCTGACATGTCATCAGTCTTAGCTGTAACCGAAACTCAGTTACTAATCCGTTCACTTACTAGGTAATTGTAGCCCACGGCGCTTAAATCTCCTATGTTATTTCTGCGCGTATCAGTAAGCTTTTCACACGTTAACCACTTACAGGAACGTGGAAAGTATTTACTATACGAAAATAGCAAATTGCAAGGCTCCAGATCAGTTAGTGTTAGCGTACGGACAAGATCAAGGCCACATCAATGCGTGTGGTACTGTGGATTGAAACTTAGTAGCTGGGAAATATTCTTTGTGGACGGTGTCGATAAAGTTATATTTCCATGAAATTTTGGGCAAACTTATTTTGTTATTCCTTTATTGACTCTGGTTGATCCAGAGGACAAGACTTTTATGACGCACCGTAAAACATGCCCGATATTCTTTTACAACCTAAGCGGGCCCATTGTATCACTTAGTGAAGTCCGTGACTAGCGTTATCATTCCAAACAGCGCCACTCAAATTTTTGATCAGTTGACGGTGTGGAAAAACTGCGCTGCGCCATCATTTTCGTGCCGTCAAATTTAGCACATCCACTTGGATTCTTTACCAATCTTATTGAATTACTTGCACGCTAACGAAGAGTGAAAGTTATAAACGGTTACCTGCAATGATAACCATGGAAAGCAGTGTTAAACCTACCACTCCAAGCCGCTTTGTAATGCACTTAGTGTGCTGCAATACAGAAGCCACCAGAAACTGTCAGACTATGACCTAATCGATTTCCAACGTCCAACTTCTTTGTATGCATGACTAAGCGATGTGAGTTGTTGTTGTTGTTGTTGTCATGTTTGAGTAGAATAAGCCGAATATTAACTGAAGAATTAAGCAAACTGTGTGATTTCCAGTTACCGAAGGTGGCATTTCCTGCTCTGCCTACACCAGGGATGTCCAAAGTCCAACCTGCTGGCCAAATGCGGCCCGCGTTAACATTCCAACTAGCCCACAGCCTCATCCTGAGCTAATGAATTCAGGCTTAGACTATTTGCTTACATGTGCTATTTGTCTTTACATTAATGTCAAACTGAATATGGCCCGACATATCTTTACCTCACAAAATGTGGCCCTCCTTCCAAAATGTTTAGACACCCAGGGTCTACACACTCTAATTGGACGTGTTGCGAAGTGTATAACGCATGGTAGCTGGCTTGAATCTTTTCCAGTTAAGCATGGCTTTTACGACGTGATATTAGGGTTTTATCGATCTCGACATGTAAACCTGGGCCGCCGACAATCGTTGGAGTCTGCAAAAGCTGCCAGGCGCAAATTTCACGCAGAAAGTTCTTCCAGTCGACAGCGGTCGCGTGGCCAATAGATAACTCCTCTGAACAGAATTTGACTGTTGTCAGCTTTTTGGACCAGCAATAAATGAATAGGATTATTGTCCTAAAATGCATCCTAGACCGCTGCAGCCAAGTCCCCTTTCGAATACCGATTTCTTGCCGACACTGTCGGGCATCACACCACCTGTCAGAAACAGTGGAAAGTGTCATTTGGTGTCCCCGTCTGCATAAACGTTGATGATGAATCACTCCATGGCTTTGCAAAAAACATATTGCTGTTTCCTTGTCATGAACGACCGCCGAAAGCGTCAGAAAGTTCATGTCAGGTTTTACGTGCGAACGTAGAAATTTTTTGGACAAAAATGACCTTAGAAGCGGATAAGGAGTGATTTTATGGGGCACGTTCACATGTATTACGTACACTGGAGCTGGCAAACAGTGGCCGGGATCAACTTTTCACGCGTGCCCTTTTTGCACTATTGGTGGGGCTTGACTTTTCAGGTGTACCCTTTTTGCCTTAGTGGCGGGGCTTAACTTTTTGCGCGTGCTCTTTTTGCATTAGTGGCAGGGCTTAACTGGAAAAGATCCGCTGGCTTCATTATACAGCCGCATGTTCTATGCCATCGAACATGGTATTAGCTGCCCGGAGAAGACAGTCAACGCACTGGTGAATTATTTAATTAACACGCCAGGCAAGTGTGCAGTGGTCTCATCCATCACAATCAGAAGGAGGGTAGCGACCACCAACATGTAGTTCAGTGGCCTCTGTATTATCAACACCAGAAAGTGTTGACAATAGAAAGTGAGGAGTGTTGCGTACAAAGAAATCCAAGTGGCCATCATGAGTACAATATCACGAACTCATTGGCTGACTTACCCACAAAAGCGTGCACATCGAGGCTCTGGCTGTAGGTTTTCGATAATGCGCCGTATACAATCTCGGACTTTAATGGATCGGAAATTTTGCTTCGTTGGCTCAGCCAATCATCAAAACTCCATTTTGTCATTTCTACGAACTCTGGTTTTATGGCAGAAAATAGGTTGGCTGTGGTCGTAAAACATTCACCGTCATCTTGAAGTCTGTAAATCCTATAAAGGGAAAAAGAGACATGGGATAGAAATCTACCAGACGTCTGCATCACCAGAACAAAAAAGATATACCACGAAGAGTATAGAGACATGCTTGCCAGATGTTGAGCTGACCAGTTTTTGTACAGGTGCTGTTGCCGTGTAGTTCGGACTACGATGCTATTAGATTTCCAGCAACCCCGGTTCCGTTTATGCAGATGGGATGAACTGTCGAAATGCATCCCACTTATCCGAACCAGAAAATAAACATACACCCCAATGGCACTGCGCTTGAATTGATGGCACGGAGCATAAGCCGCATCAGTGTGTATATGTATATAAACATGTGATTTGCTACTTTATGGTCTATGTCAAGGGTCACCAAACTACGTGGCGTTAGTTCATCCTGCTCGCCAACCGTACTGTGTACCTTTTCTCATTTTGTTGCATCGTTTCCCCAAACGTTTGCATCGGTCAGGCTTGAAGCTGCATCGCGTGACACGTTGAACGTGGGCACTCGTCTGAACCATGCTCGTTGACGTTAGTCAAAGTCCCAATGCAGTCAGTGGCAAGGCGAGCACGTGATCTCACCTAGCCAAGTTTATGAGTATGGCACATACGAGTACGCATATGCAACGTGTCGCATGACACACGCGATGCAAACATTTGGGGGAAGGATGAAATGAATTGGTGTGTTTTGGGAACCCGTTATCCACACGTCCGCCCTAGTTCCGTGCTTGTGGCCTTCGCACTAAGATACTTCCGATCATTTATTTACATGACCCCAGTATGAACGCTTTTATACAAGAACACTGTCTCACCCCAGTCATATTCAGCCCCTTCGTGTCGCTGATCAGTTTCGACAATTTGAGTGATATCGTGTTACTTACTCACGGGGACAGCTCCCATCGCTATAGAACGCGGTAATCTAGTTAGCGTTTGGTATGCCTTAGCCAGCACGTCCGCTTGATCCTATTCACCAATTACGTGCTTATCTCACTTGACCCACACAGTCGCCTCAATGACATGGGTGTTCGTTGAGATGCGATCAACCGTCCTTGTTACTGGTACAAGTGAAATATGAGTAAGCCTCGTTTGGACCATTAGGTGTAGAAAATCCCCTTACAACCACTAAGAAGAGGAGATTGTATGCCCAGTGTTGCATTTTCAACAAAGAATGGGAAGTAAAGTAATTTATGTGGAAACTATGGACCGAAAAACCAATTGGGTCCAATGCGGCCAAACTCTTGCCGTTTTGAAAGGGTGCACTCTCCGGCGTCATTGTGGCAAAACACCTAGCATCATATTAAAAGTTTTCTCGGAATCAACGCTGAGAGAGGTGATTCCATAAAAACGTGCTTTGGAAACCCAAATAACTTTCTTCATGAGAACGTTCTCTGAGAATGAAGCTCTTAAACCTCATTTTCACAAATCGCACTCCTTCTTTTGCTGTTTGCTTGTACCTTCGGATGTATGCAGTAAATGTCTGAGGTAACTAATTTTTGCGTACATCTCCCCCGTTCAATATTTTTAGTTACTAAAGATGTTGATTATTTTTTGAGTTTTCTATGTTGCGCACCACTCACGCATGTTTAACGGAGTGCTGAAATTAATTTATTGTTTTCATTGTCCAGGAGTTTCCCTTTGACCATTTAATATTGTACGGAAATCTAATCCGGCCCGCGGTCGTAATATTTTGGCTATTCGGCTCGGCCGTGAAACATATTTGATTACTCCTGCCTTATGATTGTCATACGTATGCAACAAATAAACTTGTCTCATTCAAAACACACCATAGTCCCTTCCCTTTACTTCAATTGTCAAACAAGCTGGTGCAGCTCACCTTGAAAAATCCCTCATGTGTGAGCGCGTGATAGATCTCAACTTGATCAATTGTAGCCCGTATCGCCACAGCAAACGAACTGGGAGAAAGCACGATGGGCCACTCAGTGAAGAAAACGAGAGACCACCGCAACCGTCGTATATCATGAGACGATAATCTGTGGCACTCACGTCCTGAACACTCAAATCTGACAAGGAGCATGAAGTAAGAGTGAGAAGTGCAGCGCGCACCAATGTCTACAACTGCCCAAATGAACAAATCACAAGGATTATAAGGAAGGTAAAATGTTTTGATGAATTACACTGGTGGCTGAGTCCGAACTGCATGCAGGGTGGGTTTCCTGGAACATCAAACATACGGAAAATTTTACACCAAAGATGAACTGAAACATACTTTTACCACGTTAGATAAAATCAACATTAAAGAAAGACATTTAACCAACTAGGCCGTATTCAGCTTAGCAGGGGGGCTTGGGGGTCAAGGGTAACTGTTTCTCTGTGAGTGTGAGAACCAAACAGAGACTTCGTGTGTCTACTGCAATGAAGCTCCAAATTCCGTTCCTAATTCCAGTTAAGAATATCAAAAGACGAAGATTGTATGTGTGTATGCTCCTCGACACCGAACACACCACTAACAAAGGATTCAAAATAAGGCCACCTGAAATCGATTATAGACCAAGTGTTTCCCGACTTGTATGTTATTGGCTACCACGGTTGGTTTGGAGGTACTGTCAGCTGTTGTTGAACACACTCTAAGCTGGGCGCTGTCGATGGATAACAATGGACTCTAGGTACTGCTCACCAGAACTGTGAAAGACTCATGCGGGTTCACCTAGTGACTGGCGTTCAGCAAATGCCTCAATATTGGTGAATGAAACTGGTGCTGCTGTCGTAGGACGCATCCGTTTACGTAGTCACTTTGGAATGTTTGCATTAATTGGGACACAGCTACTTCTGAATTTAAATGAGAAATGGGACTTGCACTGCTTCGACACCGGCCTCTTCACTGAACGCGTAAGCAGTGTGCTTGTATATACGAGCACGCGTAACATGTCTTTCTAATGAGGCGCTTATTCGCTTCTAGGTGATTTTCATGTGGTGTTCACCGTTCAACGGTAACTCATTAAAGACTGATTTCTTCTGAATCATTAGGTTGCAATTTTCTTTCATCGTGTCACTGGAGTGCTTTATAGACACCAGTTTGTAACTATTAGATTGTAGCACGTCAAATAGCGGTTCTTTCCCTGCTCCCAGTGTTTCTGTAGCGCAAATCATATGGGTTTGATGGAACGAAGTCCGGACTAGACAGCGCTTGTACCCTAAGCACTGACCCGTCCAGGTCACCTTCCGGTAGACTGACATTCTGTTAGAAACATCTGGTCGTCGTGTGACCAGTATGTTAAGTATGCGAGACTTGTAGTATACAGGTTCGCATGTCATAGTGAGATACTGGCGCACGCGATTGAGTGCCTTGGTTGCAAATGCAATGTCTTCGTCGAATCCAGGAGAATGATAATGTTAATGGAAACTTTCCAGCTTGATGATGTTGTCCACTTTCTCTTCGATCACACCCAAGAGTACGTCCGCCAGCAAAGGTCCCATCGGGCTGCCCATATTCACAACATCTCTTATGGATATGCGCTCCAATTAAAATAAAAGTTAATAGAGAAGTAAGCGGAGCATGTAGGCTGTCTCCTACATGCGAAGATCAGCAACACGGGCGTAGTACGATCTTTGACCTTTTCGCAGAAGTTGGGAATCGAGTGCGAATTGATCAGCCAATAACTACAAGCCCGCGTCAAAGGAATTGAACTATTCCGTCAATACGGTAAACCTGTGGACCGGAATTCACTCATTCTGGCTGAAAACCAGATGCAGAAGCGTGAGTGACCTTGCATTCCAAACGTAGCATGTTTCGTTTACCAATAAATAGAGTCGACCTGTCCTGTAGACATACTGTCTGTCTACCGAGTTCCGGCCTTTTGTATTCTTTCGGTTGGCTGGGCTCGTGACTGAACAGTCAGACGGTCGCAGTCTCACAAGGCAGCAAATCAGCAGTACAACAGTGGAGACGCAAGTTTTAATCCAACACAGAAATGGCAGCCGGGGTCAAAGATTCGCAGGCAGCTTTGTAGCAGCAGGCCAAGTTCATTGAGATATTGACGCAGTAGCTGTCGTTACAGTCCAGCCCTGGGTTAGGGACAAGTGCAAGTTTGCCCTTTACAGGAACCCTGACATCAGACCAGTGAATTCTATTATGATGCGGATGCTAGAGTTACATTCACTTCCTGGTTTCATATGTATACAGACACGTTTCGTGTTGACTTCGCAAACGTACCAGACAAGAAGAACATTCGGCTGATACTCCGGAATCTGGGTGCAGCTGAACATGAAAAGTTCACAAATTTCATCTTGCCAAAGAAGAGCACTGATCTATTCCTTAAAAAAAACGTTTTAATCTTGTCACAAAATTTTTGATGAGCAGACAGGCTTGTTCCACATCAGGTACAAGTTCCTTACGGTGGCCAAGAAAGAGGTTGAAGATTGGGTCACCTATTGGAGCCATGTAAATCGAGAGTGCGAACATTCACAATTTCAACAAATGACCGCAGACCAATACAAATGCCTCATTAACGTTTGCGGCCTACAAGCAGCCAAAGATTCGGACATACAAACAAGAATACTAAACAACATTGAGCAGAATCCTGACATCACATTGTAGCAGGTGACCGGTGAGTGTCAGAAAATGATGATCCTGAAGCATGATACAGCAAAGATTCCGCAGTTGTCCAATACGAAGGAGCATGACCTCAGCTATGTAGTCAACCGAACTCCCCAAAAAGCACCAACTCACGTGAGTCCATCAAATTCCAAACCTCCCTCTCCTTGATTGTTTTGTAGAGTATAGCATTTTGCTCGACACAGTCCATTTAGCCATCCCAGTTGCAACCGGTGCGGCAGAGGAGGTTACAAAGAGTTATGTTGTTTGGCACATGGTGCTACTCTGTACAGTAAGAAGCGTAACAATGCCATACCGTTCAGAAGGATGGATGGGATCAGTATGATCACTGCGACTTTCAAAATTGATGGCGTCAACCGGGTTAGTACACCATGGTGGAAATCAATGGCAGGCAAGTCAAGTTACAACTTGATACGGCTTCAGATATCACTCTGATCTCGAGCGACACGTGGCGCAGGTTGGAGCGGCCGACACTCGTACAAACGACCCAGACGGTAAGGAATGCTTCAGATGTTACATTAAAACTGCTTGGTGAAGTTAACTCTCTAGTCAGTTTCCCAGGCCAACAAATCCACACAACGTGCTTTGTGACAGACCAACCTGGGTTAGATTCGCTGGGATTCGATTGGATGGACGAGCTGAACTTACTCGAGCAGTCGGTAAACAGTATATGCCAGCAGTTGCGAGTCAAGCAAGCTGCTCAGATGCCAACGATGAACCATGAATAGCGCAACCAAATAGCAGATCTGATGCGTCGCCATAAAACATAATTCAAGCCAGGTCTCGGATGCTGTCGCGCAGCCAGGGCGGAGTCGAACCTCAAAACAGATGCCAGACCAGTCTTCAGACCAAGGCGCTTGTTGCCGTACGCAACGCAATCTCAAGTGAAAGCTGAGCTAAATCGCTTGCAATCCGAAAGTAGAATCGAACGGATCCACTATTCAGGATGGACGACACCGGTTTTGCTGGTACAGAAAACGAAGGGCAAAGTCCGTATCTGTGCTGCTTTTTTAACTGGATTGAATTATGCGCTGGAGACGCAGAAGACTTGTTCTCCAAACTCAAAGGGGGCAAATGATTCACAAAACTTGACCTGGCTAACCCTTACTTGCAAAGTTCTAGGTACAGAGGAGTGCAGAACATTACTGACGGTTAATACTCGGACTTTTTCCGTATAACCGGTTGCCATTTGGGGTAAAAATCTCACCCGCCATTTTTCAGCAAACCATGGTACTATGATGAACGATATTCCCAATACCGCGGTCTACCTGGATGATGGGCGCAGACCCGTAAGACTTGATGCGCACACTGGAGAGAGTGCTTTCATGTTTGAATGAAGCTGGGTTTCGATTACGGGCTGAGAAATATGAGTTCATGTTAGATAGTGTTAAATTCCCCGGGGTTTATCATAGACTCACTTGGCCAGCGCCAGCATCCAGACAATATCGAAGCTACCAAACAGATTAAGCCTCCGAACGACGTCGCAAATATTCGCTCATTCCTCGGTCTTGTGTGCCATTACAGTATTGCCCTCCCAAGCCTGCATCAAACCAGTGGTCCGCTGAACCAGTTGGTGACGAGAGATAACGTTTGGCAATGGACGAGGCAATGCCAGCAGTCCTTTGACGCAGTTAAAGCAGCACTCACTTCCTAGCAACTGTTGACTCATTTTAATCCCAACTTGGAAATTATCATTGCCTCGGACTCTTCCAATTACCGTATCGGGGCCCTTATTTCCCACCTTTTTCCAAACGGAGGAGGGAAGGATATTGCACACCCAGCGCCATCCCTAGCGTCCTCTGAGAAGAAATATCGTCAGATTGAAAACGAAGCACTCGCAGTCGTTTCCGCCATAAAGCGATTCTACAAGATGCGCTATGACAGGCTTTTCACCTAACTGAGCATAAGCCATTGCTGTCGATATTCGGCTCAAAAAAGGAATTCCCATTTTTACCGCGAATCCCTTACAAAGATTGGCAAATATACTGTTGGCGTACGATTTCAGTATGCAGTATGGACCTACGCAACAAATCGGCCAATCGGATGCCCTGTCTCGTCTCATTAAATTCGCACCCAAAGGACAACGATGATAGTGTGGTTGCAGCCATCGAATTCGCGTCGGAACTCCAGTGAATCCTGACCGATACGATTAGAAAATTACCAGTGACAGCTGACACTATTCGCGCGGATACTTTCTTAGACAAAACTCTGGAGAAAGTGAGGTGTTACTTGCAAGCAGGTCGTCCAAAAGGTGGTATCCTTACTGAATCGCGATCTTTTTTCAACCGACGTAGGTCACTGTCCGTTGTGGACAATTTTTGTTGTTTGGAGACCGGGTGGTAGTTTCAAAGAAATTGAACAAGCGAGTTCTACAACCATTTCATACTTGGCGTCTAGGTACCAACCGTAAGAAAGTCTTGACACGCAGTTTTGTTTAGTGGCCCGGAATGGATTCAGAAATCAAACAATGTTACTAAAATTGTGAATCCTGTCAACTGGAGGCCGAAACCCTTTCCGGATGCCCCTGGAAACCTTGGCCCAAAGCAGAGGAGCCATGGCAGCGAACCTACTTAGATTATGCAGGACAAATCGCCAGTCAATCCTATATGATTTTGATGGAATCTTTCTCCTACTGGCCCTTTGTGATTCCGATGCAACCTACGACTGCCTAGTACACGAGCAAATAGCTGGACAAGCTGTTCCATTATTTCGGTCTGCCAGGAATGATAGTAACAGACAGCGGTACACAATTCACTTCAACTTCCTTTCGCGAATGATGCAAAGGGCAAGGAATTCAGAAGATGTTCTCACCACCTTATCATGCGCAATCAAACGGACAGGCGGAAAGGTTCGTGGATACCTTTAAAGGTGCTCTTTGTAAAGCGGAACAAAACAATATCGCAAAGGATGCGGTCCAGTCTTTCCTGTGCATGTATCGGAATGCACCAAACCCAACTGTTCCAGCTGTAAAAGACTGGCGAAATTTTGTTTAGACCAAAGACATGGACATTGTTCGATAACCTCGTGACAAGCAGAAAAGAAATACATTGCAGTTGACAAGTGGAGGAATATCTGACAAACAGGCTCAGTTATTTCAAAATCGGTGACACGTTGTTTAAGCGAGAATTTCGGGGACCGAGGAGATGGTCGAGAGGAAGAGTTATCCGCAGAAAGGGTCCAGTCATTTACGAGCTAATGGTAGGAAATGCGAAATAGGTCAGGCGCGCCTATCAGCTGAGGCCGAATCACGGCAAGGCTCAAAATTCCTCGGAGCCACCTTCTTTACTGTTGAACATTCTACTAGAGACGTTTGGTTTGGGAGAGGAAGCTGAGCGGCCACATGGATCACAACAGAACCTGTAAGCATCAGCAAGCCGACCCGAAAGCGGAGACGACCAGAATGGATACAAGTTGATCCCAAAGCGAAAACGTATGAACAATGTCGAGTTCGAAAGGTACGCTGACATACTCTTTTCGAAAGCGGGGGTAATGGAGACGCAAACGGAGCACGTAAGCTGTTTGCCCATAGTCACAACTTATTTTTATCGACATGCGCTCTCTTTAAAGGAAAATTCGACACATTTTGTGCACAGTAAGAGCATGTTTATCAACCTCTTTGCCTGGGCTGGATTCGATTGTAGTGTTTCGTGATAAACTCACATAGATGAGCAACGGTCTCGTTCAACGGAACGTTGATGGAATGTGCCTGCTATCAAGTGAACACATCACTTGAGGGACATACCAAATAGTAAATTACTTTGTAGGTCTTTGATAGCGTATAATTTATTGTGCAATTCAGCCACTTAGCAATGGTGTGTGGAGATTATCGGCCGCTTAGGTAATCCAGTATTATGCACCTATGCTAGACCATACAGCTGTGGAACGTGAGTGCCTACTGGTTTTCGATTTCATATTTATCCTCTGAAACGAAACCATGAAATTTACTATGTGTACTTCATCACACAGCAGCTTCTCGACCAACCGAATTGTGTAGAATGTTGTGTCTAGCCTGAATTTTGTGGTGTCAGCCCTGCTAGCTCAATCTTGAGTAGTTAATCTGGCCTATTAAGAAGTACAACTCCGGAACCCCTATCAGGTATTATAACGACCACTTCCTTGATTTCTTCTAACTCAAGGTGCATTTTCTAATGATCTACAGTAAAACACATCCAGTGCTGTATTTTGTTGGAAAAATTATAGGCTATGTTTGCCAGTTTTCTTGAACCAAGAAGGATTAAAGGGTGATGCCGAACTCCAGGAAGCAACTTATCTATGTAACTTAGAAACGTTTATACTACAGCAAACTTTATGTAATTGTGGAGATGACGTTTTGAAATCAAGACGAACGAATAATTAATCGGTTTATGAACAGTTGATTACTGGCAATGACCACGGGAACACATTACGAATAGTCAGCGCGGAACTCGACTATTTTTACTCAAAGGAACCGGTACATTGGAAACTGATTGATTCGGAACATGTCGCTTATTTCACAACATCGCAGTGAAAATTTTCAAATTTGAATAGACACGCAATAGGGAAAAAACATAAGGAGTGGTGACCTTGTGCTGTCGGCTTACGTTGATCAATCCAAGGTAAACAGGTTTCTTTGTGGTCTGGCGCAAGCGAACAAGATTTACCGTTGTTGGACGAATTTTATCCTTAAGCAATTGCTTCAAAAACTAACGTGAATAACAGTTATCGGATAGGCACCTGTTCAGAAATTCCAGTCGAATTTGCTCGAACGCAAGTTTGCGTCATAGACATATTTTTATAGATGGACCGCGCCCACTACTCTGTGCCCAAAAATGACTGACATTTACTCTCGGCGTAAAGCACACCGATTGGAAAACTGCTGGACACCAGTGGATTTCATGTCAGCTTCTGCTGAATTATTTGCTAGTTATATACACGTGGCGGAGAGTATGAACTTAATGACGGCGTCAGCCTACAACATTGGTCTTCCTAGTTCCTTATATAGTTTTTCAGTTTATTTTGCGGGTATGTGCTGTGAAAAATTAGGAGTGATTTCCGCGCTATCCTTGGTTGTATGGGAGCGTACTGGATCTTTTTAGAATCGTCGAACAGATTAAATATATTGATAACAAGGACTAATGGAACGAGGTGGTTTAAGTAGTTCTAGTATGTCCAGCTGCAACCCCTTGGAAGTACCTCCAGAAATCCCCGTCCGTTAACCACAACTGTACCAGCTATAAACTGGTCTGCACCCAAGGCCTGTTTTCAGCATGTCCTTCATCGTTGTATGTGAATTTTCAAAACGAAAAGCTTAGTTTCAGTCAGTTTGCATTTAATTTTGAATAGTTCGAACCGAAAATACTATTGTGTTCCCTTTTTACTTTCGAAAACACGACTTATATAACTGATTACAGTCCCGGTTTTCGGATATACGAAATATGGAAGAAATCCCCATGTAGTACATTTCTGAAAGAAAAATTAAGATGGCTTATTAGCTAGCAAATCAAGTATAGAGGAATGATAGCCACAACTTACCAAACTTCTTCGCGAAACTTGTCATGTACTGGTTGCTGGTGTGATAAATACTGGCTCCCGTCTCGATTAGCTGACCAGCAAAATTGGCAGATTTTATCCGACCGCCGATCCGTCCGGTTTGTTCAAACACGGTGATGACCACTTCCGAGCCAAATAGCTGACGCAGGTAGTACGCAGCTGTTGCACCGCCCATGCCAGCACCAATGATTGCTAAAAGATAATTAGACAATATGTACCCAATAAGTTAAGCTACTTGTTACGGTCGGATATGGATGTAACAACATGACTGAAACCGAGAAAAACGTGCCCCAGTAGCATTTGTCAACTCTGCTCAAGACGGTGATTTAGCTGCATTATACTTGTGGCTCCTCTATAATAAATCACAAAGCAGCACTACTGCGCCACGTATGAGTGAGTGAACTGGTTTATCAAACTACTACACATTATACCAGGTCGGTCACCATCGTCACCAGTATTTGCATTGCACTATTCTTTACTAAATGTGTGCTGCGTCTTCAAAATAGGTGCACGAAAATGTGGCGCCGGCATCAAACTTGGCTCAAATTCTAGTGGCACTGAACGGGTACTTCGTGCCTCTAGTGACATCAAGTCAACGCCCGGGTATTAATGGTGGTGGTATTACGTCCAAACTGCACACTGAAATTATTGTGCCCAACTGGATCCTGGTGAATACTTTCATGTGCGTAGTTCGATTATTAGGTTCAGTAAAAGAGGTGTTATTTTCTGCTATTTCATTATATACGGCCGTTGGATTTTGAAAATAATTATCTAAAAATTATACTGGCGGCCAATCCTCATCAGTATGAATATTGTGCTCGTTACAGTTGACGTGGGCACACCAATTGCCTGAACACCTATCAACATCCAACACCACTTGGCGATGGACGCTTATACGTAGGGATGCGGGTTCTGGCCCCACAGCGGACAGACAACATGTGCAAACTTAGCAATCCTCAAAAGAACGAAACGACCGTTTGGTGTTTTCCGGATGCGCAGTGACTGTCTGGCTGACTGAGTGTGTTGTCGACGAATCCACAGCGTGGATCTCCAGCACAGGCACTCACTTCGCCATCTACCGAATGTTAATGGCCAACGACGCACGCAAAACGACCAACGGCCGACCGCCAAACGGTCGGCTTACAAGTAAACACGAATTTCACGTCTATCCACTTCCAACATACGAAACACTATTCTGTTTGTATAATAACGTCCGAAGCCTTCTTACTGAGTTCGTCCCACTTAAAGAATGCCAGGCCTCACAACCCCGAGATTTCATCATGATTACAAAGCACTGGAGTTTTAAGATTGCTGATTCTGAGGTCAATTTGATAAGTCTGTCCTCGTTTCTGTAGGACAGAACTGGAAGAGGTGGGTGTTGTTTCGTATTACAAGGCTAAGCTGCAATATGAAATTACTATGCACTCAGAAATCTGCACCATTGCTTCACTTTGCTGACAGCTATGGTTGCGGAACGAACACAAGAGGCATGTAGTAGTAATTTATTGCGCGCCGAAGTCTAGTTGTTGAATGGACTCCATTCGGAACCACGTACTTCTTTTACATTGAACAAGTCATACAGACTCATTCTCATCGCAGACGACTTTAATGTGTACCACCTGAAAATAGCGGCAACCGGTAGCGCGCAGTTTAAGCCTGTTTCCAAGAGCTAATTTCCAGCTACCATTTGCACGACCATATCACTTCTTCCACCAGCTTGCATACTACTAACAGACGGTCGATACTTAATGACAGCGCAATGAGGCTTGACCTTACCGTGATGATACATTTTGCTCGCTTCAGCTATCTCCTGAGTTATGCTGAGTGGTGCTTTTCGCATCTTCAGCGTCACTCATACCAGCTGGGTCAGTGGTTAGTGGCTGGACAAACTCAGTCTCCCGGTCCTTTAAGTTAGAGGTTGGGATGAGAGTGGCTCCCTACTCCTTAAAACGGACTTCTTGTAGTCCACTTCCAAACTAGCAGCCTTGCCGTCAGGTTTTTAAATCAAAGACATTGTTTGAGTGTCCTAATTGTTCTCCTATCTTGACATGTGCAACCTGACAGTATCCTGCCCACACAATCCAATGACGTCACCTTCAAAACATTCCTCTGGCTGTCGCAGAGGATAAGTACCGGCGCCGTATCTACTGCATCGAGCTGGGTGAATAGATGTTTGGATGTTATCTCTCAAACCGCTCTTACGCTTTTTCACCATTGTCGTCCCTTCCCAACTTTACTTTTGTCCCATATGTTCATCACCCCAATTCTTGGCCCTCCCCACCAGGTATTGATGGGCGTTTATCTTCCAGTTTCAACTCACATGCAAACGCGGAGCGTCACTCTTATTTTGTCGACAAGCTCAAGTCCAAGCAAGCGGACAAGGTCAGCTCGTCCGATTCTATTTGGAGCTCTCCATTCTCCTACAGGTTGTCATACCTCAATGTAGGCAATTTATTACAGATCGGTCAACAGGCAACACTTGCCCGCGCATTAGAGACCCTCTCGATTGACCTCTGCTGCTTATCGGTAACCCGCCTACAAGACTGGAGCTCACAGCGCGCTTTGCGATCCCCTTCAGTTGACGCTATCTTTGCTTACTTATTGCGCGTCTATGGAGTTGATGCAGCTTCGAGTGTCAGCCAGTCCGGCGTTAGTATCGCCCGCGGGCTGAAACTTCACCAGTTACTTGTATTCCAAACAGTATCCGGTTGTGTACAATCCGACTGGCTGGGTCCTTCAAAGTTTCGAAGTCGCGCGATGTCGATACGGCTTTGTTTGTCATCGGTGCTTACGCCCCCACAAATTGTAGCAATGGCTCGGTAAAAGACGATTTCCAGCTGATATTGACATTGGTCATGCCAACTTCATCCACAGCCATTCAACCGGAATGGCTGCTGTGCAGGAACACTTGTACTTGTGTACGTGCGTGTTTGTGTGTCAACCAACCAGTTACCTCTACGGATTTGATTCGAACTGGAAATAGTTCGCGCGTTCGTGTGACTTACATAGCAACCAGCTTTTATGTGCTCACGTGGGCTGAGTGGAGTGTGTCGCGTTACGCTTGCTACTAAAGTTTGCTTACTACCATACCGTTTGTGTGCATGCTCTTGGGAGTAACGTTTTGGCGACAGAATTTTTTCGTATAACTCATGGCAAATTCGAGTACGGCGCTTCTAGCGTTTTGAACTTCTTATACTACTACACAGCAACAGAATCAGTAGAAATATAATTTCCTTAATTACGTTGAACTATTTTGCTTTTTGGTGTCAACACAAGCTACCCTTGAACGACCTTGAACGAACCCACGTTCCAACCGCTCATCTGTGAACATGTAGTTTTGCCGCCGTTCTCGGTTGCGTTGTGTCATACAAACGTGTGTTCACACTCATTCGACCCAGATTTTATCTGCGCTAGCTACTGCACTCCATCTTTGGGATCTAGCTTGTGTGCATCGTCATTTATCTCCACATTGCGGTTTTTGCGACATTCCCGGAAAAACACAATCGAGGAATTTTCCGAATCACACATAAATATTTGTGGTTTTAACCGAAAGCCAACTACACCTTCCCTCTGACGAATCAACAACTAGAGCTGTGGATCCTTCGTCAAAGTAGCTATCGTACACGTTGTGTCCGTATCGCTCAGTCGCTCTGCTTTCCGCATGAACGACCTAAGCGCTTAAACCTTCCTCGCCTGGACCAGACACAGAGAATGTGACGACCTTGAACATGCAGACAATTCAGCGCACACACGACCCGCAAGAGACCTTAAGCGCTCGGGCCTCTATGGGAATACCATCGATCGAGGCATGGGATTGTGGCGACCAATCAAAAGCCCAGGTAACCGCATCCAAATCGACACTAGGTTGTGGCCTTCCTTCATGCCACAACAATGTACGGATTGGAATCCAGTGTAGCTGTTGCCAAGGCAAGTTCGATCGCCAATGTGCCAAGCTAGCAGTGACAAACTTGAAGCTGCATAATAGTCAACCAGATTCATTGTGGTACTGTTCAGTATGTGTAGTCCTCTCACTAGTAATGATTGCACAAAAACTATCGCAGAAGTTCGAAAGACTGCTGACAAAGTTTAAACAAAGGAGGAGCACCAAAAGCGATACATTTGTAGAAACCGTGACAGAGAGTGAATCCCAGTCATTCCCATCAAGCACTGAATTAAAACTGAGGAAGAAGGTTAGGCAGTGCGCTAAAAATGGATCATCTGTGGCATTAAACGCCAATACCACCAGCTGCTCAAATATGCCTGAATTAACCACCGCCAGCCCGATCGCAATGAGCACGCTCAGGGCCCCGTCAACCCTCCAAGCTGTTCCGAAAATTCAGTAGTGCTTCGACACCAGTAGTGGTTGGAACTTAGTTGCTGCTAAAGGTGATCTAAAACCTAGGTCTTCGGCCACTCCCACTGGACCCATAGTAAACCAAGAAGCGGCAGCTGTGACCAAACAGCCGCCGTTTCGACAGTATACAGACCAGCTGGTCGTTTGAATGCAACCAGATTTGCACATAGCAAACCAAAGGTAATCTGTACCAACGTTCCAGAATCGACGTCAAATTCGTTAAAAGGAAAACAACTCGATGACGTGAACTGGTAGAACCTAATATATGACAATATAGGTGTTGTAACTAAGCCCGTAACTTTGACACGCGTTATCCGTCACCCAAACTCACAGCACTAGAGTGAACCAAGACTTCACCGAGTTTTGTTGACCTCTGTCAATGAAGCAGAACCTATCCTGTTATCGAGAGTGCGCCTCGGGAACAGGCCATTTTCCATCCGCCTATTCCGGGATATTCCGTGAAGCGAGGGCAGACAGGCGAAGCACGATTAAACGAAAACGGAAGGAATCCGTAGGCAGGACAATCGTCCTACACGGTGTACCCGAGAACAGTAGCAAAGATCAGAGCGGAGCAGAGAGGAGCAAAGAATATCCTTTTGGACAAATCTCATGAGGCATTTAAAATTAGACAGCAAAATTAGAAAACCAAACGGGTAATAAAATCTAGGTTTGTGTTAGCAAAAGCCAAGAAATACACACAATGTATTAGATGGCCTGGCTGGCCATCGATCAAAGTTTTAGTCATTCGAACTACGCCGCTCGGACCAGACAAACACGGTCGGAGAAGGCAGACCGGTCAGCGATGAAAATACTGCTCGCCTGTCATGTTTGTGGTAAG